ACTCCATTTCAAAAAGTTGAACAAACCAGTTTGCAAAAGTACATATCATTGAAAATGAAATTCACACATAAATCGAGTAATAACAGCAGTTGAAACACAACGGAATAACCACGAAATATAAATTTTATGAATATCGATTCTTCTTTTCTTTATCCACATAACATATTGAAAGTAAACCCTTGAATTTTTTGAGGTCCTTTGTGTCCATCAGTAATATGCTTTCCGGGGGTTGCCCTACAAAATATTCATAGCAAGACTAGTGAAAAGACCATTTTGACAAAACAAAAAATTTACTTTCCTCCCCTCTCCCACCTAAAAAGGTGGAACAACCGGATATACTTTGTTTTTTACTATTATCCCAAGTTGTTACATTTCTTACCCAAAATAGATTTACCTAAAGTAAAGTAAAAAAGTAAAGTAAAGAAGAGAAGAGAAGAGTAGAGTACTTACGAGAGGATTTGGTCTATGGCGATAACCAAGCATCATACGTTTTTTGTACTGCTCATAGATATCATCATCAGGTGTGACTTCCCCTGGTTGAGAAGCGCCAACACCCAAATTGTCTTTCTTCACATTACCAGCCATGATTGGATCTGCTATGCCGCTTCTAGAACTCCCCAGCCCTTCACCTACAGTGAACTTACCAATTTTACATAAATACCCCTCCCTCCCCTTCTACCAAAAATTATTATTATTATTATTACCTTCTTTCCAGCCCATTTTGGACAAGAGTCTATGGCCGACATTATCAGCCTGAATTTTTGCTCTTTCAGCAGCCTCCTTGGCTGCTTTTTGTGCAGCAACATCGTTACAAGAGGCCATGAATTTATCAAGCTCTTCCTGTGGTATATAATCACCCATATGATGACCTCTTTTCCCACCACCTAAATAACAACCAACAACCATTTATATTAAGATATCAAATATAACAAAATTAAATAAAATCTACATATCATATTTAATTTAACCTTGTAGAGAAGCAGGAGGTGGCATCTCATCTTTAGAGTGTTTTGGTTGTCTCCTCTTTTCTTCTTGTGCTGCCTTCTTCATATAAAACTCCATCATTGCTATTGGATCTGAACCTGATGGGGCAGTAGATTCACCTACAGTATAAAAAAAAAATGCTTCATAACAACTTTTTAGAGTATATAAAACAACAAATTATGGATCTGAATTGTTTACCATAATTAACCCTTTCACTTGCTGATATGTGATCATTGTCAGTAGCCTCATATAAAGCTGAAGCAGGAATCTGATAATTTGGTGGTTGTTGATGTGATCTTTGAGAACTATTATTCACTGCATTACTCTTTCCAGCTCCTTCAATAATTGTTAGGCCAATAAAGAAAAGGTAAACAACATAGGCATAAATATATTTTCTTTACACATAAAAGCAACTTAGTAGCATTTTTTACCAATAAAAAAAGTTCATTGTACTTTAATTTATAGTTATGCACAAACCAGTCTGTGATGTTTGGGAATCCATGGAATAGGTCAGAGCTTTTTCCTCCTCAATAAGCCGATATTCATAATACTTGTAATCAGCACAGCTTTCATCAAAAAGAAACCTGAAAAGATATCAAAATCAAGTAAACTTTTGGATCTACTCTTTCGTGGCAATGGTGATCATAAAGTTTACATCACATCACATCAAAAAGAGATAGTATGATACAGATGTCAAAAGCTGATCCTATGCAAATTTTACACATTCCTCTTCAAGAAATATATATAAAAAATAATGAAATGTAAAAAACAAATTTATGAACATACTTGAAAGGGGTATCTCCGGGATTCTTTTGGCGTGTAATATGCTCAAACTGCCTTCCATTTTTGGCCACAAAACTTGCTAGTTTATCTGCAACCTTCTTTATTGTGGGATCACTTGGTGCTGCATGTCACTTAAATAACTGATTAAAACCAAGAGCATCAACATCTTACATCTCTTTCCACCAATGTTGACAGAGGTATTATGCATAAGCTGCATTCATCAGACCCCAGTAATTCAAGAATCTTTTGTCCTTTTCTCACCATTGCAAAGGTAGAACCTTTATTTATTATTATTATTTTTTATCAAATTAAAGAAGAGACACCACACCACAACCCCTTAACACCCCCACCAACATGGGGGATACAGATCACAATAGCAGATGATGATATTTTGGAAAAACAACAGAAACTACTCCTTAAGAAATACAAAGGGAAATAGGTAATCAAAAGTAAGAAACAATTACCAACATAAACTTGTTTTAATGATTGGTCAGAGACATAAGGCTGCTCCAACTTTTGCCTTTTTAATGGTAAATCACCTACTACTCCATTACCACCATTACTCTCATCATCTTCCTCATCTTCACTTAACTTGACAGCAGGTGCCACAAGTTTTGATTTCTGTTTAAGGCTAAATGCAAGTTTGCCAGATGAAGAGGACTTGTTATTACTAATCACAGGGTTAGGTTTTTGGGACCCTGATAAAGGTGGACCCTTTTCCTTCTCTTGTTGAAGTTGTTTGAACCTCTCCATAAATGAACCATCGTTCACGAATAGGCTAGAAGCTTTTCCTTTCTCCATTGGTAAGAGGCAAGGTTCTTTTGGCTGTTTATAGAAATCACTGCTTGACAAGTAAGCTTACAGACTATTCAAGAAATGTAATGTAACTGAATCATATCACAAAAAAAGAGCAAATGTGCTTGAGTAATGTTGAAAAGGCCGAGTTTTGTGTTAGTTGCTTAGTATACTGATCTCACAGCATAAGCACATATTGGGCTACATAGGTTATCATCGAAATTAAGGCTTGTGATAGTTTTAAATCTCAAAGGAGGGTGTAGATGTGCATCTTGAAAGTGCAGAATTACATAATCTTGTTGTAACAACTAGATGTGCTTGAAGTTGTAACATGTAAATTGTAATAATCACGTTTAATGCTATTGATTGTTTGGAAATTATGATTATTTAAAGGTTATAGTTTATGCTAGTATCAAAAAATCAAAATGGTTATTGGATCCCTACATAATCAACTATAGTTAAAGTTGCAATAACCAGATAATCACCCTCAAAATCTCAAAGGCACATCAACACTAACCCTAAGTCGAAGTGCATATAGATGTCAATCCATCATCAAAACCTCCACGCTACAAAGATATGTTGACTACAAGTCTACAACAATAACGTCAATCTGTAGATCAATTTTTCCATTTTATCTAACAAAGCCACAGTCATCCAAAGGTTGTTAAAAAGCTTCTAAAACTCTATTGATGTCAAATTATCCAACGATACACTATACGAAAATTTTGGCAAAGGGAAGACCGATACTTTTCTAGCCACAGCAATTAAAATAACAGAAGTCACATGTCCAATCAACATTAAGATTCAAGAACCAAAATTTAAAGTACTCGAAAATTGAAAGATAAAAAAGCATAGAAACCCTAACTCGTAACGGAGGAATTGAGTTGCAATAAGATCAGACATTCACGAACCAAAGATCATAGTTACAGATCAAAATCACATACCTGGTTGAGATAAAATATATTTATGCCCAATGAGCAGATCGGGGAATAGACCCGATTGTATTGTGTAATTGTAGCGTGTGCTTCAGGTTTGGGGAGGATTTGGCTAATCTTATATGGCTGTCTTCTGTTAATAATTTACATTTATTCCCTCTGATGTTTTTTATATTACAAAAAGAACCCTACCTTATTATGATTTTTCTACAATTCAAATAATTTTGTTTGATTATAAGCTTTTTGTAATATATATAAGGGCAAATTGTAGAAAAACTCCACCATTTATTCTGACATTATTTAGAAAAACTTTTATATTTTATTTATGCAAACCTTTATATTTTATTTATGCAGAAAAACTTTTATATTTTTATTAACCTATTTAGAGTTATCCCAATATTCATTTTTTTAAGAACTTAACGGTTGTTTTGTGTTATGTCGTTTATCTTTTTGTTTTTAGATTGACATGGAAAAAAGAACTAAGCGATGTCATTTATTTTTGTTTGAGTAAATAGTCGTTGAGTAAATGGTCTATTTCTCACGTTTTACCTTAGACAAGAGACAACGTCACTTATTTTGTTTTCATGTTAATCTAAAAACGAAAAAAGATAAATGTCATGTCACAAAAAAACCGGTAATTTCTAAAAAAAGCACGGATATTTAATTTATATGAAAGGTACTTGAAAATGTAATGGGTTTTCTACATATAAACAAAATGTAAAAGTTTTTCTGAATGTTAGTAGATAAAGGTTATGCTTTTCTGTGATTTATCTTATTTATAAATATAAAAATATTTTTTTTGTTTGATAAATTTATAATGCTTAACGTTTCACAAATACAAAAGCAACAAATTATGACAAGTAAATATTTATGCAAAGTTTATGATCTACTCAGTTAATAATATGTCTATTTAAAGGTTGAATGAAGTCTTGTCTTCGAATTCATTGTATTTTATGGACCACTTTGTTTTCATGGTCAATGTTCAACACCATGTCACATATTGTCCAAAATTATGCATTTTATTGATATTAAACGTTTTAGAATGATCTAAAATATTACGAGTATCAGTCATTATAAGATAAACAAAGATAGAGAATTTTTCATGATCTAAATTTTTTCTTGTATAACATTCTAGAAGGACAACGAATGTGCTATTGAAATCTTTGATGGGTGCAAAAAATAATAATAATAATTCATTTATTTTTCTCTCAAATTAAAACATGTCACATATTGTCCACAGTCAAATTAAGAGCAATTCGTTTATTTTGGAAAATCTATTAAATTATAACATTATATATATATATATATATATATATATATATATATATATATATATATATATATATATTCTCAAATTTGTCTCATTACACTATACTTTAGAAAATCTAATAACATTCATACTAATTCATGATTATACAACAAATCTAAAATTAAAGCCCTATAATATGAAAAACAAAAATAAGATGCATCATCGTTGTAATAAATAAATCAATGAAAAATACACTAATTTTTTATAAGATTCATTTTACTATTTAAAAATAATTAAGATAACAAATAAATAAAAGTATAGGTATACAACTTTACAACGAAACCTATTTGTTGGATCTATTGTATTTCATGTGGCTCTTAACAAGTTGACCGGCGGCGATTGCCGACATGAGAGACAATTCTCCGGCCAAAACAGACCCGGCGACCACCTTCGCCAACTGCCGTGCATTAGATCCAGGCGACACCTTGTTTGCACCCTTCACCCCAAGCAAATTCAAGCACGCCGATTGTGAAGCCAATTGCGTCCCGCCACCCACCGTCCCCACCTCAATCGACGGCATCGTCACTGAAACATGAAGATCTTTGCCACCATTCACGGCCTCCATCATGGTAATACAGTGTGAGCTTTCCACATTTTGGGCCGGATCTTGTCCGGTGGCTAAGTACACTGCCGACACGATATTACTTGCATGGGCATTGAACCCACCTAAAGCACCGGCCATGGCTGATCCAGTCAGGTTCTTTAGCATGTTTAGTTCCACCAACGAAGCTACATCAGTTTTCAACACCTTCTTCACCACCTCCTCTTTTATGATTGCTTCACATACCACTGATTTGCCTCGGCCTTCGATCCAGTTCACAGCAGCCGGTTTCTTGTCGGAGCAGTAGTTGCCGGAGATTCCGATGATGTCCATGTCCGGGAAATCGGCCTGGAGGTAATCCAAAACGTTTTGAACACCTTTTGAAACCATGTTCATCCCCATTGCATCTCCAGTGCTGCAAGTAAACCTCATGTATAGATTCTTTCCGGCCATCGCACATTGAATGGTTTGAAGCCTTCCAAATCTACTTGACTTGTTGAAAACAGAAGCTAGAGTCTGGAAATTGAGTGGTTCCTCCAAGAAAAACTTCAACTCTGCCGCTCTCTTGGCGGTGGCAAACCGGACAACCGGAGCTCTAGTCATGCCATCTTTAAGGAGGATACTGGTGGCACCACCGGAAGCGTTGATGGCTTTACAACCCCTATTGGTACTAGCCACAAGACAACCTTCTGTGGTCGCCATCGGCACCGAGAACTCCATTCCGTCGAGCAATAACGGCCCGGCGATACCCACCGGAATTTGAATATAACCCACCGGCATCTCGCAACACTGTCCTAATATCGATTCGTAGTTGAAACCATCTAATGGTAAACCTTCAAGAGACCTTCCTGTTATCCTCTCCAAAGCTTGTCGCCTGATGAACGCTGCACGTTTACAGTCCCCAAGCTTTGATTCGAGCGAGTAAGAGGGTGTTTTTCCGGTAACCACCGCTTGTATCACCTCCTCGTCTTCCGTCGTAGCCGTGAGGCACTCAACGGCAGTGGTGGACTTAGGGAGTGGAGTTAGAAAATCTGTATAGATAGCAAAATTTACATACTGATTACTTAACTTGTTTACGTATAAAAATTAAAAATTTATCCCGACAATGATGATGATTCATACCTTGATCGGAAATCTTGGTAACGCAGCCCGCGGAGTTGGTTGAATGGATGATCTCTTTGGCGTTTGTTTCTTCAAGTTCATCGTCTTCTTCTTCATCTGGAAACGGCATGGACTGGAGGAAGTTCATACCGAAGAAACCAAGAAAATAGACGAAGGAGGCGACAAAGCAGACGACAGCAGCCATCTCCGATAAGGTGAGATAGAGAGGGGTGGCGGTGTGGATCTTTTGGCGGAAGGTGACGAAGAGGTAACTGATAACGGAGAAGAAGAAAGCGAAGAAGATGGTGTTAAACAGAGGGAATGCATTAGATTTTGAGCAATCCACCACTTTCTTGTCGTTCGACTTGGGGAATTGGTCATCGGCAACGGCGAAGGATTTCATTTTAATTTCTAGTAGGTGGTGGCCGCCGGTGTGGTGGATTGATTAAAATGAGAGGCTTTTTCCGATGATAAGTAGATAACATATGGAGTGTTATTTATAGATGCAAATGTAATGCCGGCTTAGTAGAAAGATTCTACTTCCTCGAAGTTACATGGGGAGGAGGACTTTATTCCTCATTTTGTCTTTTAACTCTTTATAGAATACAATATATGTTCGTGCCCTAGTACACGCCAAGCATGCACACGAGAGCTATTAATTTTTAATAGGTAAATTGTAAACTTATTTTTAACTAGTTTGTATTAAAATTATCTTTTCAAATAGTTTAATACCTTTTTAAAGCAGCAAACTATCATAATGTCTACTTTAGCTTCTTACGATTTCTTTTACAACTTATTCTCTTAAATTTTCGGGGTCTCTCTCACACACACACATATATATATATATATATATATATATATATATATATATATATATATATATATATATATATATATACTAGTGTAGCTGTGCGATGCGGCAGCGACGATTTGTTTCATTTCGGCTATTAGTTTCCAGCCGGAAATTAGTTCATTTTGGTGGACATCAGTTTTTTTTTTTTGTATATAAATTCCTTTTAGCAGATGTTGTCTTTTGCTTAAAAATAAAAATTATGCTACTATTTTTGTTAAAAGTAAGTTGTGTTTATTTAAAAACAAAAATGCCTTGTTGTTTAGTTTAAAAAATAAATGTATGTTGTTTTAGTTAAAAATAATAATATGTTGCTGTTTAGGTTTTACATTACTATAAAAGAATAAGCAAAATAATACGAAACATGTTCTTTGTTTCATCTTCAAAACGGAGTTAGCTTATTTTTAAAGATTTAGGTATAGTTTTGATTTCTAAAATATCTTAGATTTTACATTATTAACTTTTTTTTACTTTCCAAGTTCATATATTTGTAGTTGCAGCCACTTTGAGAAAATAGGATGAAGTCGAAGTTATTGTGATTCAAACATAGTTTAAAATCGGTTTACTTAATCAACTTCATCTTCAATAGCTATAATTTTTTTAATGATAACTTAAATTCAAGTCTATCGTACTAAGTTTTAAGGTTTATGGTGAATATATAAAATAATTTTATTAATAGTTTTAATCTGTTTGTTTTTTTGTAATCGGTTTTCTTTACATAGAAATATTATCCAGAACTGAACTGGATAACATTCGATAGACCTAGTTTTTAGTTTAATTCTTTTGTTTATTTGTCTTGGTAAATCTTTGTTTAATTCTAAAATTAAAATTAAAATAGATGCTTAAAAAAATATGTCGTGGCGAAAGTAGCAACTGAAGGAAAAAAAGTGGCATAAATGAGAAATCACAAACTTTCCTGTTCACCGTCTTTTTAAGGATTAATAGTATATATATAATAGTATAGTTTTTTTTTTTTTAATTTGGATACAAAAAGCTTGTATTTTATATTTTTTTACCACAAATCTACTTTCTTATTTATATTTATATTTTGGTCATAAAATTTATGTTTTTGTAGATTTGGCCTCTCCAACTTCAAACAGATAATAATTTAATTTTTTTATCGTAAGTTGTTGCTTAGTATCTTTAATGTTCGTATTTGAAATGAGATTGATAGTAATTCTGGTACATTTATAAATAAGAATAACAATATAATATTTAATTTTGTATCAATAATCGTTTAAATAAAAACAAAAATTATATCCTGAAACAATGATGGTATTAGTTGTAAAACCAAAGGACATCGGTTCATTTTGTATTGAAAATATAAATCCCAGTTATCGAGAAATAGTTGGTATTGAACATAATTATCAAAAACGAAAAACTGGGTGCTAGTCTGCTAGACATGGCATAGGGATCCATGCGTGCAACCCCAACCAAACAAAATAAATGCATTTCATATATTTAGAACATCTGTTAAAAAATATATAAATTAAATTTAAATATATATCCATTTCCATTGATATATAACTATATATTTGACAATATGCCAATTACAAAATCGTTATAAATAAACAAAACCATGTTTTTACTTTTTTTTCGTGTATAACTTTTCTTTTTAATTACTAAAATACCGTCGAGTTTTTATAACCTCAATCATATTTGTTCCTAATATACATTCACGGGGTTTTAGTATTTTATATTATATACTTTTATACTTTTGTTATAAGTTACAAATTTAAATACTTGATATAATAATAGATAGCAAAATTTACCTTTTATGTAATTAACATTTAATTTATGTTTGCTTATATATGTATCGTTACAAACATAAAATCATGATGTATTTTTTTATTAAGTCTGATATTGCCAAAATCTACATACAAAATAAATGCTCCTAAAAATCGTGCTTTAAATTATAACAATAAAAAATTAATACCAATAAAAGAAATCATCTACAAATATCAAATATATTAAAAATACAAAAAAGGATAAAAGGAATAAAGGGGAATACAAAAAATAATAACAATAAAAGAAATCATCTGAAAATCCAACACTTCTTACTGCTCTTGTTTACTTTTGTTTTTCATAGATCTAAAAGGAATAAAGGTGAATACAAAAAAAATATGAACTTTACATCTAAATCAAATATTTAAAGAGCTGAAATTCTTGATCTTCTCGTCGGCATCTGTTCTGCAATGATATACAATGATATTGTAAAAAAACACAAAAAATAGAAGAAATTTAGCATAAACTTCCTGTAACCCCATACCAAAAACAAAGCATTTGATCATTCCAGATCAAACAATTACATTCATATTTACAATCGCTTATCTAACTATTTAAACTGGCATATTATATATCTGATAAATAAAACAACATCAAAATACTTCAGATCATGTAGCAAAACTTTATAATAATTGTCGATGGGGTTTTCTCTTCTAAAGAAAAATCCATACAAATCTAGGTTAAGAAAACATAAGAAAATCGAAAACATAAGAAAATAAAAGTAAGTTAAGAACATATTATAAGAAAATCTAACAGAGGAAGCGTTATGTACAGCGTTGGTGGTGCAATGGCGATGATCGATAGGGGTAGTGGATGTTTCACGTGTTGTTGTTGTGTGATTGTAACGTAAAGTGGTACGGATGAAGTCGCCCATGAGGTAAAATCGGCGGGGTTGGGTAGATCGTCCGAATGAAGGTCTCAGTTGTGGCCAACAATGGCAGCATCTAGAATTGTTGTGGAGAGGGATGGCGGTTGGTATAGGGTTTTTAGATGCATAAAATGTTTGGAGAGATTTATTAGGTTTATGTTTTGAAATGAGTGTCTAATTTATACGTCTCAATTTTTCAAAAGCTTATTTTTCATTGGTCAATTTCATTTCACATGGATTACCAAATATTAAATCTGGCCATTCAAATTTGATCTAATGGATGAATCTCACCTCCTTGTTTTTAAGACTTTGGTCTTAAAATTTAAGGAGCCCCACATTATAAATGTATTATAAAGTAGTATATATATATATATATATATATATATATATATATATATTATGAGTTTTAATAAGTATGATTCAGAGTCAAGACCAGTGATTGGTTGGATTAATGTAAGACGCGCAGATAAGGACATAAGTCGCGGTGTTAGATCACAATCATCATCGGGATGACTCCCCTTGTTCATCATTATTAAAACAAGTAATTTTTCTTATAAAATCTTAAAACAAAATAAATCAAATATGAGTATGCTTTCATGCATATTACCCAAAAAATATATTCATGGTAAAACTGTTAATGAAGAACCAGACTATGATAATAATCAAATAAATTCTATCAAAAAAACTATTGATGACATAGAACAAAGTTTAAATGATTGGACAATACCAAAAACAAATATAAATACAATATATAAAATAGGAACTTTTGAATATTTTCAAAGTTACTTAATCAAAATAACCGAACAAACTGTGTCTACTGGTCAAAACTAACAAAATTTAAATCTATTATCACTTAAATCTATTTTAGAACTTAGAAAAAAATATAAATTTCTTCATATCGATTTAGTACAAATTGCTATTAAATCTTTATTTAGAAATGGTATTAATGCTCATGTTCTCCTAATTTTAAGTGATAAAAGACATAAAGATTTTCAAAATTTTATTTTAGCTATGACAGAAACAAATATTACTAACGGACCTATTTATTTTAACTGTTATCCAAATTTTTGTGTAAGATTATTCGATAAAAATATATTAGATACTTTAGTTTTAACAGTAGAAACAAAAAATTTAGAATTTAAAGATAATATCAAGCATTTATTAATAATCTATCGTGTTTGTTGTAAAACCATGACAACCGTTAGAATCAAGAACCTGTCTATGAAGTCTAAGAAATGAAACAATTATTTTTGAAGCAAATACTAACTATACTAAGGTTCATATGCCTAAAAGACTTAAATAGTCGGAAATTACCCAATCATATAATTGGAATTTACAAAACGTTATTAAACCAAAAGCTTTAGATTCTTCAAAATGAATTTCTAATATTATTGAACATAATGATGGATCAATTGATATAAATTTTTCTTCTATAAATTTTTTATCATCACGATTTTCAACAAGTTCGATTCCAGAAGTTGGCGCCTCAAAACCTTCATTTTCAAAATCAAGATCTTTAAAACTAAAGGTTGTTGATTATACTAATTCCATTCCTAAACTACTTTATCAAGATGAACAAAACAATAAAACTAGTTTACCTAGTCCCATTAAATCTGATTTTATAGATGAAATTCTAAATTTTAAACAACAAATATGAGTAATAAAACTCAAATATATTGCAATTCCGATAACAATTATAATGCTAATTTACTTAAAAAAATTTGGCGAGACTTAAGAACTTCAATAAAACACTTAAAAGAAAAACAATTAGAAATACAAGAATTAATATCTAAAGGTCAAAATTGTACTGCAATTCAATTAGTTAAAATAAAAGATTAAAAATTGAGATTGGTCATTTTAAAAAAGTCATAAAATGTATCAATTATTCAATTAACCACATTACCGACAGTTTATTAATTTGTTAAATGAGTTCTAAAATACAGATTAATTGTTCTAAAA